CCCCCCCCCTTCCAAATCACCCCGTTCTCACCTCAGACTCCCATAACTGGCCTCATTATCGTTTTAACAAAACCTACCCAGCAACATATTTCAGAACTGTATTAGGGTTAACCAATTTTGGAATGCTTGTAAAATCTTTTAATCCAGGCTCCTTTTGTCTTTCTCTCCACCACTTTGCCAGAGCGGGCCGAGCCCATAAAACTCTTTCTCCCTCATAATTATCTTGCACACTGGGTTGTCTTCTGTCCTCTGCACGATCCAATCTCTGTCTTTTTACCTGAATTAATTGTTCAGATTCTTCTCTAATATCATTTGCTGGAGGCCATTCGCTAAGATATTCCCTGTCGTTGGAGAGATCAACCAATTTTTCAGCTGTCAAGGAGACGAGAGGATCCGCCATCTTGAATATGTAAACTTGGTTTCAGTCTACGTCGGCTTGTAGGACTAAAATACCTTAGCCACAGAATCTCTGGTCAAATCCACAACGTCATCTTGCATGTTTGACTAATAAATGGATAATTTTCAAACAGGACAGAACTGAGGTCAGGAAGAAAGCAACACATCTCGTCGCGTTCCGTGTTTACAAGTTAGAAACGAAAGAGAGACCTGATCCCTTCCCCAGCCCCGACAAACATTGATAATAAGGAGCCCTGCGAGCGAGCCCACCCCTTGGAGAGCTTGCTTGCAGGCTATATTAAGGGCGCTTTACATGTTTGTGTATTTTTCAGCGCAGAAAAAGAAGACATTAACAATGACGGGCAGAAAAAAAAAGGAAACCAAGTTACAAACTCAACAATTTACGCCAGTAAGCTGCGAACGAAGAACTGATTAACTCTTCCTGTAGCCGTCTATCGATAGTTTGGGTTCAAGTAGATCAGTTATGTTAAGTCTTATTATTGTCTGCAGTTGTCGCCTCTTGAAGATTTGAGTGACGCCAGCAAGAATTATGTGACATCCCATCAGTAATTCCTAGTTCATATTGAAATGTCTTTTTCACGTACGCAGTTTTTTCCTGAATATTTAGTCAAAAGATCATGGCTTAACACTATAGTCGTATACATCTGAGAAGAACCAACCAACCATCAAAAGAAACCTAGGACACTTTTCCCTATGAGGGAATACGAGGCAAAATGTCAGGAAACAGTGGGAAGGGAAGAAAATTACTTTTGAAAAACAAGGACAAAATTCAATTATTTTAAGGAAAAGGTAACATGAAGAGAGGGGCTGGGGACGGGGAAGTGTGGAGCTACTCTTGTAAAATAACATTTTTTCATCACTTGCTTAGGGCACCTCGAGTTAATTTTTTGATTAGTCATGTCATTGCTAGTGTTTCAAAATTATTATAAAAATCACACTGCTATAACCATTACATTCTTATGGCTTTAGGTTGGTCTGAGAAAAGGGATTCCCCTGAATCTAAGAACATAAGAAGCATACCTCCCATGTGCAGGTATAAGGAACAAAACGTTTTGATTTAATTTTTCCAGCACAATTAGATGGCCCAAAGCGTTTAATTTGCTTGAGTTTTGTGAAACCAAAACCTAAGTTACCTGAACCACCAATCAGTACAAAAAAAATATTAGGAGCCCATTTGAACAAAAAGCAAAAAAAAAAAAGGCAAACTGTTTGAAGTAAAGAAAAACGTAAATGGACACGTGCTGTTTACTTTCCTTTCTACATCTTGATTGAGAGGATGGCAGACTTTTTTAAAGGCCATCCCAATGCAAAAGTGAAGCAATACCAACGTTTAACCCTTTAACCCCTAGGAGTGATTAGTAACTATTTTCTCCTGTCAGTATTACTGCTAAATCAAACATTGAGATCATGAGAATAAAAGAAAATGATTGCCAACTAAAGAGGCCCATGATTGTTGAACAAATTCTCTTTGTCAGCACCATAGGAAATACATAGAGAACAGTATGGAGAAAATTTATACTGATGTAAAGGGTTAAATCCTGGATAGTTTTCCACACTCAACTCAAAATTGCTTTGGTAATTCAACAAAGAAACTGAGGGAGAAGGTGGAGTAAGAAGAAATTTTACAGAAGGCTTGATTCCCAAAACTACTATCAAGTTTTGAAATGACAGCTGTTTTTAATTCTTCTCTCTCAGACTGTCTTGTAATGGACAACATATCTTTTGACATTTACTCTGCAATTCTTAGAATAAGAAGTGCTGATAAATACACTAAATGTACACCCAGCACGAAATGTTTGGACCTCCAAGTTCAAAATAAATTCATTACCGAAAAGGAAATAATATTATTAATAATAATAATAATAATTTGAAATGAAACAAGCATTCATAATCCCTAAGAAATATTCTTTGAATAATATATGCATTAATAATTATACCTTAAAAGCTAAATTCATAGATTTCTAAACATCATATCAAGTCCTAAAAGGGAATAATTGAAAACAGGCTAAACACTGCCTAACTGCAATATATTACGTCCTCAAATGGGTATATTTATCAAAGTTTTTTGTGTGATTTGAACAAGACACACTGGGCATTCCAATCTTTGTGAAGCACATGCCTCACACATTGTACAATGCGAACACGGTGCTGTCATTATGCATCTCTGTTGTTCCTCACAAAGACTACAAATTAAAGCTACTTTTCTATACATCACCTGCAAAGGGAAATAAACAAGCTCTGTTAAAAATTCTGCTCCAACTTTCCACTAAGAGTACATATGCCAGTAGTTCATTTAAAGCAATTTCATGGAGTTATCACAGGTAAAGGCATTGAGATTTGAGTTTGACTTCTAAAAGTGTAAACACATGCTGACAGATCAACTCAAGTACTCCTTTAAATTTTCTCTTTCAGTTAATATGCAGACAATAGGAATGTTCATTTGACATTAAATAACTCACACTTGTATTTCACCCATTTTTTCCTGTTGTCTTAAACAATGATTAGGAATTAAACTACAAATCATACTGGCTAAATGTAATATGGTCACAACATAAACATTATTGATATCACTACCCACCTGATTTAATTTTTCTAAATCTGAACTGAGCTGTCGATGAATCTGTCTCATTTCTAACAGAGGTAACTCCCCTACATCATCCACTGTGTTGAGAGTGTGAAGATGGGGGCCACCTTTAATTTCTTCCATTTCTTTTCTCAAGCTTACCACTTGAGATTCAATCTAAGAAAAAGGAAAATCAACATACAATTAAAATGTAACTATCAGCTTATTACTATTCTTATTAAAGTAAAAAAAATAATATTTTTTTAAATCAGATTTTTAAAATCATATTATCATGGTGTAAAAATTATTGGGGCCCCCCCTCCCCCAAAAAAAAAAAAAAAAAAATTGTCAAAACTTTTTTCAAAAATTTGATCTCACACTCTAAATTATGAAATTATTTGGAGTTCAGGCCAAAAATGGATATATCAAGCACACTAGGGCGGATTATTGAGTGGTTGCAGTATATACTAAGTAGCACCCCAGATGACATCATAGGAATACAGGACATTTTGCAAAAAGGACTTTTTGCACAAGTCTTTTAGCACAAGTTTTGGACTGTTCGCACAATTCTTAGTGGTCATTTCGCACAATAATTTTAAGTGAGAAACATCAATATAAAAGGTATACTAATTGATACTGATAAAACATTTCACCTTCACATATCACTTTCAATAAGATCCAATGGCAAGAACGTAGACATTTATGTAATAACTTCAACTAGATCGAAATGCTTGTGAACATGATCACTATTCTTACTTGAAGAAAGGAACAAATCTTTCTCTCTATGAAAATGTAAAGAACTCCCTATTCAAACAATTACTTCTTTTACTTTTCCTTTGTTAAACAAAAAATCTTTTAGTTTTGACAGTACATCATCCACTACAAACAAACGAACATGACGACCCAACGCTAAGGACGCCATGTTGATTTTGAAAGTAATTGTCACCAATCCGCCCTCCTCTGAAGTCAAAGTAAAAACCTGCAAACCGTTTCACTTTTTATTTAAAAGGAGAAAAGACCTATCTACAAAATTTCTGTTTAAATATATAAAATTCAAGTTCATGGCCATGTTAGCCAAGGAATCATGCATATTTTAACTCGCTACTCGGTCAAGACTCGTAGAAATTTAGCCCTTTCCTACATTCATTTAAGCTATAGTACATCTAAATTTCTTTATTTGTTTTGATCTTAAGCTTGTATGATTACTTATTGAACAGCTAGCATATAATCTTTGAATTATTTTGAATTCTTGAAACTTTCGTGAAATCATTTGTTTACATCATGGTTGCTATGACGCTTATTGATCAACACTGAACTCTCCATCACTCAGGTAATTGTTATTAGAATAATTTGAAAGGTTACTACTTGATAGATGTATTAAACTTTATGATCTTTAAAATTATTACAGATCGAACTTGTCTTTCTACAAGATCACTAGTTACTACCTACACTGACACATTCAAGTTGTCAAATCACAACACTTGCACGTGCCGACATTTGATCTGAATCACTCTCTGAATATCAAGTTATTAATGTTGAACTGTTTTTGCTGTACGTATTACCAGTATGCCTAATTTTCATTATATAATGAAGATATAAGGAGCAAGTTTTCAATAGCTTTATTTGAAACTCTTACAGATCAATAAAACATGCTATTTGAAGGCAATCAAACAAGGAGGGAAGACTGGTGACAATTACTTTCGAAATCAACATGGTGTCCTTAGCGTGGGTTGTCATGTTTGCATGTTAACTTTGCAGTGGATGATACTGTCAAAACTAAAAGGTTTTTCGTTCAACAAAGAAAACATTATAGAAGTAGTCATTCGAATAGTGAGTTCTTTACGTTTTCATGGAGAGAGATTTGTACCTTTCCTTTCTTCAAGAAAGAATAGTGATCGTGTTCACAAGCATTTTGATCTAGTTGAAGTTATTACATAAATAAATGTCTATGTTCTCGCCGTTGGATCATGTGAAGGTAAAATGTCTTATCAGTATTAATCAGTATACCTTTTATATTGATGTTTCTCAGTTATGATTATTGTGCAAAATGACCACTAAGAACTGTGTGAACAGTCCAAAACTTGTGCTAAAAGACTTGTGTGAAAAGTCTTTTGTGCGAAATGTCCAGTTACCCATCATAGACATTCCAAGAGGGATGGGCAAGTTTAACTAACATTTAAAAGTTAAGTTTCAAATTAGGAAATCATGGACTTTTTCCCTAAATACTAACAACAAATTCTTGGTGGATATTCTAAATACCACTTCTGTTCAAATTAATTTACCTCTTCCTTTTTCATAATGGCTTCTACTTTTCCTTGCTCGGCTTCCTTTGCCTTTTTTGCTGATTCTTCTGCCTCCTTCTTCCAGGCATCACAAGCCTGCTTTGCTTGAGCCCAGGACTCTTCCCATGAAGCCAGCTTGGTTCTGGCAGCCATGAGTTCTTCACTAAGTCGCTGAATTTCACTTGAACTGTTACTGAGACCCAGTGGTGATGATAGCTGGGGAGAGCCTATTGATTTGGGTGAGTGGAGCTGAGCTGTAAGTGGATCCAAAACAGAGGAATGTAGACTACTACCCCTTACTAATGGACTGGCACGGTAAGGATTACAGCCCTGTGCAAAAGAAAAATAACACATCAAATTACAGCATCAACAGAATTGCATTTATCTAGGACCTGCTGTGCATATTTGAAGACTTCATCCCAATGAGTACCAAGTTAAATGAAATATTACCACAACATGCATCATATAAATCCAAGTCACTCAAATTCCATTGTGACAGTAAATAAGTTTACAAGACTTTATGTCAACAGCAATGGTGACCTGAATGTGTTTTCTAGGCAAATTTCAATATTATTTTCTATCCTAGTTTTACCCAGTCACAGTGTAATATGAATGACTGGAGTCCTGTTGGAATACTTTTTAACTTTCCCATGATCACTTTGTCACTCTTACATAATGAATTCCCATAAACATTATCAGAGAGACTAAACAGCCATACAATTCAAATTGTATCCGATACAAACAACATTTTGTGCTAAACAGAAAAAAAGCACCCTTCTCCTCTTAAAGAGTGGAAACAACTCTTAAAACCAGGTCCAAAGCATCTGCAAAAGTTACCTGGAGTATAGCCCTTTTTCTAAACTTTTTTGAGGCTTTACTTTCTTTTCAGCTTTTCTTAGCTATATTTTTTTGCTATAGATTGTTAAATGTAAGTACCTTTTGTCCTGATA